GAAATCTTTTGCCTCCTTTAACATGCAGGAACCCTTTCTGGTCTCAGGGAAACCCTGCTAATAATTGCTATATCTACCCCTCACAGTACATTAGCCTGGTGGCTTACAGACAGCTGAAAAGAACAATAAATGTTACTTATCTGACAGGCAGAAGTTGTTTATTTCTCCAGGAAAACCTAGGGAGGGACCTGGTTTGGAAAGGCTGCCTTAAAGAGTAACTCCACCTTTGTTGAGAAGAAAAAAATTCCCTCTGGGTGATCTATGTGCATTGCAGGGATTTCAACAAATTTTGCTTCAGACTCCTACCTGTTTGTTTCATCATGTCCGTTGGATACTGATAGTGAATGGGGGCACCTGGCTCATTCTAATCACCTGGTACGTTCTCAGTGTTCTAATGAGAAAATCTGCAGGGCCGCTATCCCTTTAGAAGCATTTAACCATTAGGGAGTATCTCACTAAAAATGAAACTCCTGTTTCAGGGGTGACTAAAATCTGACTTGAACCTTAGTGTAGGCTTCTGGGAAACTCAATGAGCCAATCACACAAGCAGGATATGACATTTGTGAAGGCGTTCTGTACACCAACGGTGTACAGAGCACCTCCAGATTGTCATTTTGCAGTGAATTACAGAAAATTACAGTGCTGCAGACTGAACAGGAAAGGCTGTTTTTAATAACAATCAATTACAATACGGCTTCTGCAGCCATTTTATATGCTATATAATTTTTTTTTCATTTTCTCTATGAGTTACCCTTTAACTCTTTTGCCGCCAGGTCGGTACGTTTTACAGACCTGACAGCAGGGCGTATAATACACAATCCAGTAGGGGGTATAATACACAATCCAGTAGGGGGTATAATACACAATCCAGTAGGGGGTATAATACACAATCCAGTAGGGGGTATAATACACAATCCAGTAGGAGGTATAATACACAATCCAGTAGGGGGTATAATACACAATCCAGTAGGGGTATAATACACAATCCAGTAGGGGGTATAATACACAATCCAGTAGGAGGTATAATACACAATCCAGCAGGGGGTATAATACACAATCCAGTAGGGGGTATAATACACAATCCAGTGACTTCAGCCACTGGGATTGCATTTAAAACTGACAGGCAGATTCCTGCCTGTCAGGTGGAAGCCGTCGGCCGGCTGCGCATCCACTCGATTGCTTCCACAGCTCCCAGTCCCGGTACTTCATAGGCGTACACAAATTTAAGGTTTGATGTATGCTGGGTATCAATTTGCTCGGCGCAACTTTGTCTTTTATACTTTACCAAATTTGGGTAATTTATTGCATTGTTTGCCCTAAAATTCACTTTAGTGTGTTTTTCTACCTAAATTTTGCATTTCTTAGACCTTTGTGGTAATATCATGTTACATAAAAAATTGGAACTACCACTATTTAACTCCCTAGGGCAGGGGTGTCAAACTGGCGGCCCTCCAGCTATTGCGAAACTACAAGTCCCATCATGCCTCTGCCTTTGGAAGTCATGCTTGTAACTTCAATCTTGCAATGCCTCATGGGACTTGTAGTTTGGCAACAGCTGGAGGGCCACCAGTTTGACACCTGTGCCCTAGGGTGTCTGCTTTCAGAAAATATATAATGTTTTGGGGTTTTTTTTTGTAATCTTCAGGCCTAAAATAATTTTTTAAACGTGTGCAAAAAAAATGCAAAAAATGGCTCTGGCAGTGAAAGGGTTAAGGTATCAAATTGCCGATTTACATAGAATCACATCACATCAAATAATATTAGGAGAATGAGAGTATATAACATTTCAAATCATCTATTCAATGCAATCTTGTGTCATCATGTCAAAAACAGACTGAGCATCAATCAAGAATGAATGATTACTCCTTTGAACATTGTAATTCCACATTCCACAATACTCAATTACTGAACATTGGCAATGGTTTTCTGCTATTGACTTGTAATTTTGCCATTATTATGTCAATAGAAACATGATTTTCAAACCATGATCCAGAAAGAAAAAGTGAACAGGAAGACTTCATAAGCAAAATGTGCGGGTATCCCCCGAGTCATGTCACAGCACATCTGTCGATGAATAGAATCATCAGTTTATCATAGTGCTGCGGTATGATAGGGCCCAACAAGGCTACAAATGCTGTTCAATAAAAATTGATTTTGAGCTACGTCCATGTTTAAATTCAGCTGAATATCAATGGATTATAGACAGCATATTGCTGTTTCTACATTATAGAAAACACTTCTGTTATCTCTGTTTTTCATACCCTAGGCAATATAATACTGACTCTGAATGGCTGCTATGGGTAATGCCTTTCTACAGGTTTCCTCTCTCAAATTTTTCATGCATAACCCCAAGGGGGCCCTTCTGTTATCTTTCACTGGCAGGGAGATTTCTGAAATAAGGTTCCATTCTACAGCTCTTGTGAGGGGGTCTTATGGTTTCTCCATTTATTTTAACCATTTGCCCTCCAGAAGATTTACCCCCCTTCCTGACCAGGCCATTTTTTGCAATATGGTGCTGCGTTACTTTAACTGACAAATGGCGGTATACCGTACATACTGGAATTTATTGTAAGCTCCAAGGATCAGGGCCCTCCTATCCCTCTTGTATTGAACTGTATTGTTGCTGTATTGTCTCCCATAATATTGTAAAGCACTGAGCAAACTGTTGGCGCTATATGGGCAGCACAGTGGCTATATGGTTAGCACTTCCGCCTGGCAGTACTAGAGTCATTGATTTGAATCCCAACCATGGCACCACCTTCCTGGAGTTTGCATGTTCTCCCTGTGCATGCGTGGGTTTCTTGGTTTCTTCCCACACTTTAAAGACATGCTGGTAGGTTAATTGGTTCCTGTCTAAATTGGCCTAGTATGTGTATGAATGTGAGTTAGGGACCTTAGATTGTACACCCCTTGAGGGTTAGGGACTGATGTGAATGTACAATATATATGTAAAGCGCTGTATAAATTGACAGCGCTATATAAGTACCTGTAATAAATATAAATCCTGTATAATATATAATAATAATTTATTTATTTTATACTAGTAAATGGTGGCGATCAGCGACTTATAGCAGTACTGCGGGATTGCAGCGGGCATTCTGACACTTGGGGGAACTGACTAACTGACTAACTACCACTGACATCTCCAGTGACACTAATACAGTGATCAGTGCTAATTAAAAGAACTGACACTGTAATAATGACACTGGGCAAGAAAGGGTTAACATCTGGGGCAATCAAAGGGTTAACTGTGTGTTAGGGGGTGATTATATTGTGTACTATGAGCTGTTTTACTAAGCAGACCTACTATGCAGAGAGATAGGAAGCAGCAGGTCCATGCTGACTGGATTGAGATCTATGTTGTTTACACACAGATGTCTCCCCTCTCAGTTTCGTTGACGATCACGAGTCCTGGCTTAAAATCGCTGGCCAGGACCCGGTGATTGACATCCTTAGGAGCCAATAGCAGCGCGCCCCCTGCCCAGAAATGCAAAACCACGTTTATTTACATGATTTTGCCCAACGAAGCCGTCCTGTAGCAGTACATCTGTTATGGGGCGGCGGGCAAGTGGTTAATAATTATTTTAGCAACATATTAATTATAATTATTTTAAGATGAACTACTGCAGCATCAGAGCAATTGTTTACATTTTTGCATGCATATAAAAATCTTCCTTTTTGGCATTAAAATTAATTAAACCCCCAGAATATTATATCATTTCTGAAAGCAGAGGCCCTGTAGAATTAAAAGATGATAGTTGCAATTTTTTATGCTACATGATATTTTTGAAACCGGTAATTAATCACAAATTTTCAGGAAAAAATATAATAAAACAAATTTTTAGTGCAAACACACATAATATAATACCCATTTTTTTGTAAGATCTAAAAGAGGAGGTTGTATCCAGTAAATCGATACCAACCAAGTTTTAAAATTACGAGAAATCGCAAAAAACTATGGTACCCAAAACTCTCTATGGGTGAAACTTTAAAAGCTTTTACAGGTCATTAGTTTAGAGTTAACCAGGAGCTCTTGTACTAGAATGATTTCTCTCTCAGACGTTCACGGCGATATGTCACACATGTGGTGCGACCATGGTTGACATACTCTTGCGCACCCTGGGTGTGCGTTTATGTTTGCGCATGTGTGCGGGGCAATGGAGGTTACGACAAAATATTTTTATACATTATAATTGTATTGCTTTTAAACATCTTATTTTTATTTATTTAATTTCACTTTGTGAAAGTGATCACCGCTTTCACTTTGAAACCGGGAGCCGGCTGAACAAAGTGACCACTAGCTACTGCAGCCATCAGCTCGTGATTAACCTTTCACTCTTTGGATGTGTAGCACTACCCTTGTAATGGCCGCTGAGTTTGAACTGGGTCCCCCTATGCTCTGCGCGGAAGACAGGATGGTTGGGGACCTGATTGTGTTGTCTGGCCCAACCAGCTCACTAGACTGGCTAGACAGAATTTCAAGGTAAGGCAGTTCACACTATTTGAAATATATTGCTGTGCATTTAGCTGTTTGTTGGATGTTAACTGCAGAATGCTCCTGTTAGGGTTCATGTACACGGGGCGTTTGGAAAACTCTATTGAACGATGGAAACTGACTGCTGGAAAACAAAAGTTGAAAACCGTCAGTTTATGTGCGTTTGCGTTTAGAAGCGTTTTTAAAAGATAACCTCAGGAGACCTTCCCAAATGCCCAGAATGCACTGAAAAATAGTAAAAAGTTCAGACATTTTGAGAAGAATAGAGAGAGCAGAAGCAGAGAGAGCAGTATGTGTTGAGATGACCTGTCTTTTCTGGTTGTATTCACTATGGATCCCATCATGAGCATAATGCAGCACATTCAATCATTTTTTCCTTCACGCGAAGCCTGGAACTGACTGCACTGGTGTACCGGGTCCATTTGAATGCATGGAAAACGCTTTGCATGCATTTCTGTTCTGATGGTGAAAAAAAGTCTCTGAACAGCATCTGGACATGGAACAGTTAGAAAACGCTTCTAAACGCAAACGCTTATAAGCGTGGTTAACAGCGTTTACAAGCGTTTACACGTGTTTACAAGTGTTTGGCGTTTGAAAGCGGGTAAAATCTACTCCTGAACGCAAGTTCTGTGCGTTCAAAAATACGACTGTAAACTCAACTGCCTGTAAACGACTGTAAACGACGATGTGTACATAGGGAGAGTTCAGGGGCTGCTGAAAAAAATGCTCCTGAACATGAGTTTAGCAGCTGCAGTGTACATGAACCTTTAGATTGGATTATTATGCCTTTAAATCTGCTATTAGAATTACAGTGCAAACCATCAATATCCTCTGTTTTCTGAACATTCATAAATGAATTATTAAATGTAACACCGAAGTAAAGATGGGGGAGGGAATTTTCTTCTTCTTGGACTTGATCCTTTGTGTTGTATTCTTTCATATAGTTTTTTAAACAGTTTAATATAGCAGTTACAATCCCAAGACAAACACTAATGCTTTGGCCACTGCAGTAAATTCACTATAGATGGCTCATGGGCCAAATAAAGCAGCCTGTAGTTAATCAGAGTTCTGTATTATTAAAGATCCGAGAAGGATCATTCATCACAGTGAGTGGGGTTTTCAGAAGAATACCTACAAACAAAATCATTTGTTTGCTCTCTTCATTTATACATACAGAACCACACTTTACAAAGTGCAAAGCTCCTCATCTGTCATTACTTTCAGAGGACCTAACAATCTAATACCCCTTTAGGTGAAGTCTAGCAGGGGGGTCTAAGTCCTCACACTTCTTTGTGAACAGGACTGAATTTCTTGTCATTGTACAAAGCTCCTATACTGCTGGTAATGTAGCACCCTCTAGTTAGATGAATAGGCTAAATGTTGTTTTTGGCCTCACTGTAGTCATTGGAGCAGTGCTGTACTGTTTTTGTCTAGTTAGGGCTTTCTAGGCTGGGTGTTTGATTTCCCCCACCTGATTCTGGGACAAGCTTCCAGAATATAGGGCAGGAAGAGTCAAATATCCAGATAGGATTATTTATCATGTCCCAGCCAATCCCTAGAAGGGGGCATCCAGAGGATGGGTGGGGAAACCCCCACCCACCCCACTCTCACAGTTCTCTCTGCACAAATTTCCTCCACTTTACCAGTTCTCCTCTTTGCATAAATCCCCCAACTTTTCTCTCTGCTAAAATACCCCCCCCCCAACACTCACACACACTTTCATAGTTCTCTATGCACAAATTTCCTCCACTTTACCAGTTCTCCTCTTTGCATAAATCCCCCAACTTTTCTCTATGCACAAATTTCCTCCAGCTCTCCTTTCTGCACATATATCTCCCTGCACATATGCCCCCTTCTCTCCACATGCATTCAGTTTCCAGAAAGCTCTCCCCCCTTTTAATTCACAGCTCCCTCCCCTGTTCCACCAGTAGTATGAGCGGCCATTTTTTTTTTTGCTGTTTTTTTTTTTAAATTTAGCACAGTCTGACGATTGGAGAGCTCCATCTGTAGCACAGAGCGGAGGAGGATTTTCAGGGTACCTCGGTTCCATGCTGCAATGTCTGAGTAGCGGCAGCAAGCAGGGATGAAAGCTGTCTCCTGACCCCACAGGCAGCTGTAGGTTGTGGCCCTTGCGGTGTTGGGGCCCGATGCACTCCCCAGGGCTCCCTGGCTGCCCAGGGCTAGTACAGAGAAGCCAGTAGAGGAAGTAAGCTGTGAAGAAATCTTACTCTATTGGCTTCTGTGTTAACTGACAGGTTAGAGAAGAGAGGGCCGTCAAAGGTTCGAACACAGTCCAAGCATGTTCCAGCTGAAAAAAAAAACCCTGTATATATATATATATTTATAATATATATTTTTTAAAGCAGAGGCCCTAGAGAATAAAATGGTGAATGTTGCATATTTTTTAATCACACAGTATTTGCGCAGCGGTATTTCAAATGCAATTTATTTGAATAAAATACAATTTAACGAGTTTTAATGTGCAAAATCACAATTTAATACCTAGTTGTTTGGTAAAATATAAAAGATGATGTTACAACAAGCAAATGAACATGTTTAGAGTTACACAGGAGGTCTGGTGCTAGAATTATTTCTCTCGCTATACCATGCATGGCGATACCTTACATGTGTGGTGCAAACACCGTTAACATATGCGTGCGCGACCTACATATGCGGTCACCTTTGCGTGCGAACACGGGTTGGCGGGAGCACTTTACATTTAATTTACTTTTTTGTTTGTTTGTTTATGTACATTTTTTATTAACCACTTGCCCTCCAGAGGATTTACCCCCCTTCCTGACCAGGCCATTTTTTGTGTTACGGCGCTGGGTTACTTTAACTGACAATTGTGCGGTCATGCAATGCTGCACCAAAACTAAATTTATGCCCTTTTTTCCGCACGAATAGAGCTTTCTTTTGGTGTATTTGATCGCCTGTGTGTTTTTTATTTTTTTGCGCTATGAAAAAAAAGACCGACAATTTTTAGAAAAAACTGTATTGTTGACTTTTTGCTATTAAACATGTCCAGTAAAAAAATTAAAAACATTTTATTTTGTCATACATTTAGGCCAAAACGTATTCTGCTACATGTCTTTGCTAAAAAAAAAATCCCAATACGTTTATTTTAATTGGTTTACGTGAAATTTATAGCATTTAAAAATGGCAGTATACATACTGGGATTTTTTTTGTATTTTTTTTATTTTTACTAGTAATGGCGGCAATCAGCGACTTATAGCAGGACTGCGGGACTGTGGCGGGCATTCTGACACTGGGGGGAACTTGCTTGGTTTCATTGACATCCCCAGTGACACCAATACAGTGATTGGTGCTATTAAAAAAAGCACTGACACTGTACTAATACTGGGCAGGAAGGGGTTAACATCTGGGGCGATCAAAAGGTTAACTGTATGCTGGGAGTGTTTTTTTTTCTGGGGGGGGTGGTGTGTTTGTGCTTCCCGGCCGGGACCCAGTGATTGACAGCCGTGTCCGCAAATGTTCTGCTATAGGGCGGACAGGAAGCGGTTAATTTTATTGCTGGCACAAGGAATGAAAACATCCCTTGTGACAGCAATAGGCAATGACAAGTACTCTTTATAGAGAGATCTATTAGACCCCAGACCTCTCCTCTGGCCTCCAAAGCTGCTGATCAGGCACAAATCGGTCTGATAGGCTGCTTTACTGGCCAGCACATGGCCAGTAAACACAAAGCCGAAAACCAGAAATGACAAAATAATCTTCTCTTCCGCTTTCTTAGACCATAGAGATCATCGGGGACCTTCCGTTGATGATCTCTATGGTCAGCCAGAGAAATCTCCAGCTACAATCCCCAGTTTCCCAATTGAGCTCTGATGAAGAAGGGATGCCCTTCGAAACGCGTCAACTGTACTGAGTGTCTACCCCCCATGATGGGACTCGCGCTGGCTTCTTATCTTTCAAGTCCCTCTGAGGACTTACATGCCTAATTTTATTCGCTGTTTGGGAGTATCATTTTGCATTAATAAATTTTGGTTACTGAAGTAATGCACAAGGTTGGTGCGCTTCTCATATTTGCATTCTTTGCAGTATTGGTCGGGCTTCCCCAGCCTTGTTTGGAGCTGCACAACTCTATATGCGCTGGTGGTCGATTTTTTCCGGGTCTGGTTCCATCCATCCGCCACCTGCCTGGGTACTAGAGCGTAGGAGAATTAGTTTCCAGCCGGAGAAATCTCCAGCTACAATCCCCAGTTTCCCAATTAGGGAAATACCCAAAGACAGCAATAAATAAATAAATACATACATACATAAATAATAGCAGTCTCAACCATTCGCTATCATTTCCAAAATTAAGAAAATGAAAGATTTGGCTTCACATACATGTTCACTGTGAGTAAAGGTTTTCTTTAACTCCAGTATTTTCATGTGTACATTTTAAAATTTGTAAAAGTTTAACAAGCTGCACTCTCTTCTCTCAGTGAAAAGAATAAAGAAATAAAAAAATGGATAGCTGCTTGAAGTCAATATGGGTGCGCTGGTCTGGGGAAGCTTTAGTAAATCAACTGCTATTTTTTCTTCTGGAATCGTTCTATTTATTTTTCCGGGTAAAAGAATAATGGCCACCAAAGAAGTCAATTTCACGGATGGTGGAAAAGCCATTTATTGTCTAATTCATTCAATCTGCTCCTAACTAGTGGACAGTGGGGCTACTCTATTTCCAAGTCCCCAGGCTACAGTTTTCATAGAGGTAGAGGTGCACTCCAGAGTGTCTAAGCAGCCTGCCTATTGTCTGATGGCTCCAGGCTTCTAGTGGTTTTTTGTAAACTTTTTGTAAACATTTTTATTACAATCCGATTCTGTCCAGTTTCTGTTACAGACACACAGCATGTCACCAAGAATAAGAAATGTGGCAGAATCTCCCTTGTAAGACACTGACAGAGTCTCTAACCCCTCTCCATGCTACCAAAAATTGAGTTTTTTATTACTGTTTGAGTTTGTGTTAAATGGGTTTTTTTTTTTGTTCAATTAAATATCAGTATCAGAAGTAAAGAAAATAAGGATAACCTTCCAATGGGAAATACATATAGCAATAAATAACTGACAGAGGTTGGGATCCTTCCACAGGAAAAGTTTTTTGAGTGGAATAAGAGTTTAATTAACCACTTAAGCTCCAGGAGATTTTACCCCCTTGATCCCTTTGACCAGGCCATTTCTTGCTATTCGGCACTGCGCTGGTTTAACTGGCAATTGCGCGGTCATGCAACACTGTACCTGAATGAAATTTACAGTCATGGCCGAAATTGTTGGCACCCTTGATATTTTTCCTGAAAATCAAATTTCACACAAAAAAGGTATTGCATTAACACATGTTTTGCTATACACATGGGTTTTTCCCTTTGTATGTATTGGAACAAATATAAAACAGAGGCAGAAAAGCAAATTGACATAATGTCACACAAAACCCCAAAAATGGGCTGGACAAAAGTATTGGCACCTTAACTTAATATTTGGTTGCACACCCTTTGGAAAACATAACTGAAATCAGTCGCTTCCTAAAATCAATAAGCTTCT